TGAAGCCCCGAGTTTCACCCCCAGCACTGTATGAACTCGGTATGGTGGCTCACGCCTCTAATACTAGTAGTTCTGAGGTGAAAACAAGAGGATCAGGAGTTCAAGGTCATCCTTGGCTACACAGTGAGTTCAAAGCTAGCCTGGAATACCTGAGAGCTTATTTAAAAAAAATAAATTAAAAGGAAGAAAAATGATACATTTTGGCACTTCTCTTCTCCATTCAAAGAAACAGTCTTCAAGTGTAGATCACCAGACCAGCCACAGCTGCCCAACAAGCTAGTCTTGTCACATAGGGAGGAAGGGACCCTCTTGACCAGGGTATTGGCGGTCACTAAGGGCAGTGTCTGGATAGTGAGGTACAGACATGGTTTTCTATTGCAAAGTCCCCAGCCTCGGCATGCCTTGACATGAGGAATGCCTCACAGTGCCTCATTTCCTACCTTATTTCCATATTTCCTGTGCTGAAGAGAGCTCTGTCTGTGGAAAGTTCTCCATCAACTTGTTACCTGATGGGTTTCACCGTGGCTGCTGATCACAGGATCTGTGTTCCCATTAAGAGTTTAAGGATGCTCATTCCCTAATCCTTCACTCTGCCTGAATTTGCAGTGCTGTTTCCCCACTATGAACAGTTTCTTATCATCAACCATTTGATTATCTTCAAATATAACTCCTGCTAGAAAGGCAGGAAGATCAAAGCTGGGCTCTTCCCCCTTTATTATTCAGAGGGATGGAGACGGTATCCTAGCAACTTGCAAAGGTGACCCACTACATCTTGCTTGGCAAATCATTATATCATTCAGAACTCATCAACTGCTTTTTTCTTTTTCCCTTTATGACAGGGTCTCATGTATCTCATGCTAATCTTGAACTTGCCATGTAGCTAAATAATTGTGACCACTTCATCCTCCTGCCTCTACTTCCTGAGTGTTGGGATTACAGGTGTTCGGCACCATGCCCTCTTAATGTGGCACTGGGGATGGAACCCAGGACTTGGTGCATGCTGGGCAAGCACTCTCCTGACTGAGCAGTACTGCACACCCAGCCCCACTGACTTTTTCACTCATTTGACTTAAACCCACTGTAGCCAGTGTTCTTTTGATGCTGCTTGGGGATCCTCTGAACTCCTGTGGTCCTTCCTGGCTCCTCTGCCTCTTCCATCCCTCACATCTGCAATCTGACTTATTCTAGGAGGAGGCTCTTTTATATGGAAAAAAGATGTTTGGGGAAACCTGGTCTGAAGGCTTGCATACTTATTATCCTCCTCAGGCTGGCTTAACTTTTGGTCCTTTATAAAGCACAGAACTGAAAACATTTGTGTGTGATGGTATATAGTGTGGTGGTGGTGGTGGTGGTGGTGGTGGTGGTGGTAGTGGTGGTGGTGGTGTGTGTGTGATGTAGATTATATACGGAAGTCAGAAGATGACTTCCAATGCCATGCCTCAGGTTCCACACACCTGGTTTTCTGGAGACATGGTATCTTCATCAGCCTGAAGCCGAGCGGACTGGCCAACAAGCCTCAAGGACACACTTTTCTCTGCCTCCCTCTCCCAGTGCTGGGATTACAGGCCCGTACCAACACACTTGGGATTTTACTTGAGTTACTGGGATCAAACTCAGGTCCTCATGCTTGTATGACACTTTACCCATAGAGCCATCTCCCAGGTCAATGTTTCATTTTTATGACTTCACTAATGTCTCTTTCAGTCTGAAGATCACCCGAGGTCTCCACGTCAGCGCTGTAAATATACCTTTCCTGTGTACAGCTATCTTGGCTCCTTTACACTCCTCTAAGAGTCCCACACAGCCATGTAAACATTCTCTACTGCAGTGTTTGCTCTCAGTGTTTCGGGTGGTTGGCAATGTTCTGCTCTGTGGGTTCTTTTCTTAAAAGGCATTCAACTGTGTCAACTTTCCCCATGGCCTCTGCTGAATCCAGGAACTGTAACCTTCTTCCAGGTTAAGAGAAAGTATTCTCTGTTTCTGGCTTTCACTACATTTTAAACAGAGAACTTCTTTCACTCGAAGGAAAGCCTTCATCCACATAATCCCAGCAGGTTTGCATGGGACTGAGTCTCACTCTTCAGTCGGAGAAAAACTCCATCTCCTCTCAGGGACAGGGCACAAGGTTACTACCATCTTGTCTCAGAAAGTGCGTCCAAGCACAAGTTTTACTTCCTGGTCCTAACACAGGTCCCTGCTTAGCTGATTGGCTGGCCCATCTTTCCATACTTAGGATTTCGTAGCAAAGTCAAACCCTAGGCAGACTCTAATCATGCCTTGCCGTGCTGACAGCCATCTGTTACCTGGTGCGCCAAATATTACTTTGTTTCCTGAACTGTGCCCCTGGGACAGGTGGCAATAACAGGACAATATAACTCCAATAATGATAATGTCTATCATAGACACAGCATGTTCTCGACAGACTCTCTGGGCTCAAAAGAACATTTAAACAGGTAACACCCTTTCTCTCTATGTTTCTTCTTCTCTCCCTGTGTCTGTCTGTCTGTCTGTCTGTCTGTCTCTCCAACTCTCTCTCTCTCTTTGTCAGGCTTTGTGTGTATGTGTGTGTGAGTGCGTGTGCGTGTTTGTGGGTGTGCACATGTGTGCAAATGTAAGTAGAGGTCAGAGGATAATCTTAGGCATCACTCCTTAGGCACTATCTACTTTTTAAAGAGACCAAGTGGGCTAGGCTGACTGGCCAGTGATCGTCTGGCATCCACCCATCTCTCCTCCTCCCCAGCATAGGATTACAACTGCTCACTGTCACACCTGGCCCTTCCCATGAGTCCTAGGGATCCAACTCCGGTCTTCTCAAGCACTGTAGCAATGGAGGCTTCTCCTCAGTCCATAAACATGAGCTGATTTTTAAAACTGCCACCTCGCTAGCTGTATATCCTTCTTAATTCTTTTTTTCCCCAGACATAATTCCCAAGGATTAGTCTAACATGTTCACTGAGACATTTAGGGAACCTAACAAAGGATCACCTGTGGGCATCTGCGTAAGCATGAGGGACAGCCACGAAGGGGAAAGACAGCTTAAACATTTTTAGGGCCTTGACTCAGCCAAGCAATTAAGACTGACATTTCAGAAATTTGTCTTAGCATGGAAACATCTAGATGAAATCATACTGATAACTTTGGAAAGGGAGAGTTCTCTAACCTTAGCCTTCAAATCAATGGTTTTATTCACTTGCGCTTACATTTCAAGAATAGAGGCTTCCCTCATCATGGTGGTGGAGACTTAATCATAACTTAACTTTAGCATAAACACTATCAAGTATGGCACTTGGTTTTATAGTCCGTAGCTAATTAGAAATAAGGCAAAAGCAGGGAAATAGAGAACAACAGGAGGAAACAGAGATGACAGGAAACAACCGTCATGGAGACCTCTCTGAGCCCAGCAGCAGGGCCGGGGAGATTTGTAACACCCATCCATCATGTCTGTGAACTGTCACAAACTGTTGGAACACACAGAGAAGTTGGTTCTGGAAGCAAGGTAGTAATCTCCCACCTCAGACCCAAGTATGTCTAAGGAGAACCTGGCCCTGTGACCCTGTGACAGAGAAAGGAGACCGGCAAAAAACCTGGTATCATGCCTTGAGAGAGCTGGAGGGGGAGCCCTTTCCAGTCAAGGTTAATGCTTATTCTGTGCATAAAAATGTCTCAGGTGGGAAGTGGAAGCTGTACGGTGGAGGCCCCAGCATGACTGTTTCTTCCTCAGCCAATTTCTATGGGATGCTGTAAGACCCAATTTGATGACCATACCTCTATCAGGTTACTCCAGTTGACTGCTGGATATTGTAAGCACCCAAGTTGATGGTTTACAACCTATTTGCCTTTTTTTTTTTAAACCTTTGCTTGCTACTTGCTCAATAAAGTCACTCATTTGAAACTACAACTATAGCTACTGTAGGTGATTCTTTGGACCACGTAGAAAAAAAGCCATCACTGCAAAAACTTATTAAATGTCGCACAAGCACCAGCAAAGGCAGTAAAATAGTCTTGAGTCCAGTAGCTAGGTGGCCAGCAAAGTATGAAACTGAGTTTAAAATAGTCCTAATTAAGAAAAGGTATGCACATGTGTGATATGCATGTGTATTCCTATGTGCACATATATGTACGTATCTGTGCATGTAGAGGCAAGAGGTTTGGGTCATGTATCTTGCTCAGTGGTTCTTCACTTTGTATACTGAGGCAGGCTCTCACTTGAACCAGAACTCACTGATTTGTCAACTCTAGCTAGGCAGTGCCATCTCCATCCACTGGGTGGGTGGGGGGTGGGGATGGGGGCGGGGCTGGAACTGCAGGCACACCACTTCTCTTCCTTGGCATTTCCATGCGTTCTGGAGATCAGAACTCCATCCTCAAGCTTACAGAGCAAGTGCCTTATCCACTGACTCATCTCCCCAGCTCTGAGATTACTTTTTCTTTTGAAAGCTTCCTACTCAGCCAGGTGGTGGTGGCTCACACCTTTAATCCCAGCACTCTAAAGGCAGAGGCAGATGAATCTCTGTGAGTTCGAGGACAGCATGGTTTATAGATTGAGCTCCAGGATAACCAGGGCTACAGAGAAATTCTGTCTCAAAAAAAAAAAAAAAGCTTCATGCTCAAATAATTAAAGTTGAACTGTGTGGAAAGAGTGGGTTGACACAGATTCCTCTTCAGGATGCAATGGTCCCTTAGCAGCACAGATATGGTACTGGGGACCTGCTCATGCTCATGTGAAGGGGATCTGCAGGCCTTTCCTTTGTGGCTTCTTCTGTTAATTTGTTTTGAACACTTTTCTCTAGGATGTTTCTAAGTCTCTTCACAAAAAGTTCATGTGGGCTTTTAATTCCAATTACTGAAAAAAATTATTTCTAAGGAAAAAATTCAAAGGCACATACTTTTTCAGCTAAGCATCCTGAGAATCCCAACCCCAGATAAATGGTTATCTAATTAACCTTTGCATCTGCCTTCGGTAGCTTTTTGAAAGACAGGGCCCACCCAGGCATACTCACGGAACATGGTGTAAAACTGCTGCGGGTTCAGATTCCACTTTCCCCAGGGCGTCTTGTGGCCTTTCGACTGCGCGTAACTTGCATGGTTGAACTCAGGTTCTGTTCCAAAGGAGTCCAGCACCCGGAGCATGCACCTGTAAGGACAGCACTGCGTGTCAGATATAACCTGGATGGTGCAGCGTGAGAGACAAAAGCAAACTGACAAACATTTCAAAGTAAAATTGCCACTGGGAAGAAGCTTAGGCCTTATTTTCTTACTTGTCTATTTTGCATTTATTTTTAAACCCAGCTCCAATCCACCTGCAAACTAACTAAACTCTCCATCTCTGAGCTACATTCCTGACCAGGTGGTTTTGGAATCTTAAGCACGACAGGCATCCATACCTACAAAGAAGGCCTCAGGCACCCAGGCAGACAGAACAGGCCACTGAAGGTAGCCTAAAATACCAGTGAAATAAAGGTCCATGGAGGCTGGAGGTGGCCTGCAGGATTCATTGCAGTGAACTTAGCACCCAGGGACTGGGCATTTAGTAGGTGCCTAACCAAGGTGATGAAAGAAACGGAACACCGTTATCTCTACAGATCTTATTCCGCTTAGAGCATAGGGGACACTGTAGGGCTTTTAGCCTTCCCAACAATTAACTAGATCAGCTGACTTTAGGTGAAGCCTCTGCCACAGCTACAAGTGTCTGCTTCATACTGGAAAGGCACTCCTCACATTGGTATGCTGATGTTACCTGAAGGCAGGGTTTTGGGAGATAATTAGGGATAGATGCAGGCCCATGATGGCACTACTGGCTTTGTGAGAGGATGACTAGAGACCCAGGTCAGAACTTTGCACAGTAGAATATAGCCTTCCCTGGATGGGGGCCACTCTGTCTTGGAGTTTTCAGTTTCCAACAGTGAGCAATAAATTCCATTTCACAATAAACGAGTCTGGCTCCAGTATTATGTTGTAGTAACACAAAACAGACTTCAATCTCATCTAGTAGGTGGGGGTGGCTTTTATACATCCAACTATAACAAACTAGAACTTGACTGCTAGAAACTGATGCAGTACAATAGAGTCTCATTGGTCCATTAAACTGAGCCAAACCTGACCCAGCAGTCTTTAGTGTAGCTGTGATCTAAGAATTGGTTTTATATTCTTTGGTGTGCCTGGGTATGTGTTTGTTTGAGTATGTGCATATGTGCACAGTGGAGAACAAATGTACGTGTGTTGGTGGTGGGCACCAGGGGTCAATTTTGGGCTAACATTCTGAAGGCATCATCTACCTTAGCTTCTTTTGAGACAAAGTCTCTTGCTGACCTGAAATTTGCCAAATAGGCTAGGCTAGCTAGCTAGGGAGCCCTAGGATCTTCCTGTCTCTAATCCCCCGCCCCAGCACTGGTATTGAAAGTATGTACCACCATATTCAGCTTTTTCATGTGGGCTCTGGGGCCAGAACTCAGATCCTGAAACACGGGACAACACTTACTTCACTCACTGAGCTCTCTCCTTAACAAGGTTTCGCATTCTCAAATGATTTTAAAAGACACAACAGGGGAAAATTCCATGAAGCTCACTCATATTTCCACAATGGAAAATAAAGTTTTATTGGAACCTGGCCACATTCTGCTGTTGATAGCCTGTCTATAACTTGGTGACTGTCTTCAAGCTGTGATGGCACAGGGGAAAAGCTGCGGCACAGACCATTCATGGAGGCAGAGCACACACTGGTCACAGCTGGTTTTTACAGGAAAGCATTCTGAGCACAGGTGGGGAGGGCACAAAGTATGGCTGGAAGGAAGTTATGGAGAACCGACTTTACTAATTGGGGCTGTGCTGATTTAACTGAGGATCTTCAAAACCTGCAGAGTAAGCGAGTGAGGTTGGCCAATGGGGGACACTTCCTCACTGTTGTCCTCTGGCAGAAGACTTCTGAGCAACTTCTGCTAACAAAATAAAATTAAAGCCCACATTTAGGATAGATGGTGGTAACACTTTTAAGGACTCTTTCTTCTTTCATTTCTTATTACCAGGAAACTATGCTAAATTTTTGTAAATTTTTACTTTGAGGTAAGATTCTGAAATCAAAATAAAATAAAACAAAATCAGTGACGTTCAAATTCCAGACTACATCCTCCAGGGAATACATCTGTCAGCTGAAATCTCTGTGTGCTCACCTCACCACCAATTGTCTAGAAGGAACAGACAAGAAGGAGGGAAGGGCATGGCCACAGAGTGAACTGCACTGGGACAAAGTCCTGGCTTGTGTGGCTTTCTTGGATCCACTCTCAGCACAATGACAGGTCTCTCTTTTGAGGACATGCATGTTCATGTGTGCACATGTGTGTTTGTGTGTGCATATGTGTTCACAGGTCTGCATGCATATGTGCATGCAAGAATGTGGAGGTCAGAGGTCAAATTCTGGTGTCAGTCCTCAGAAGCCACCAACTTGGGATGTAGAGACAGGAGGACTTCTAGTTCAAGGTCCTCCTTGGTTCCATGTTGGAATTACATTTATACCCGTGCTGTGTTAATCTTTATGCCATCGCTTGGATGCCCTTTGTGTGTCTGAAATATCAGGTAGCATTTAATAAGTGTACTCAAATGTCCTAGATTCTTATGCAAGTTAGACAGAATTCACAGATGTTTTTCCAAGGTCATGCAAACAGACCTAAAGGGCTTATTGTTCATTGAGAGGTCTGAGGACACAATATGGAATGCAGTCCTCATCACCTGCCATCAAGCCACAGTCTGACAGTCTCTTTTGTATGCATGTATTGTATATGTGTGTACATGTCTCTACATTGAGCATATGTATGATATGTGTGTGCATGTGTGTGTATATGTACTTAAAGTGTATGTGTGCATGTATGTATGTGTGCATGTATGTATGCATGAAAGCCAGAAGTTTCTTAATAGTTTCTTGTCTTATTTTCTGAGACTGAATCTCTCAGTGAATTTAGAACTCACTGAGTTGGCTAGAGTACTTGGCCTGAGAGCTGCGGAGCCTCCTGTCTCCATTTCCCCATGCTGGGATTGCAAATGTGTACCATCCTGCTGGGCCTTTTGGACGCAGGGATCCAAACTCAGGCCCTCATATTGTACAACAAGTACTTTGCCAACTGAGGCATCTCCCCTCTATCCTTTGTTTTTTGTTGTTGTTTTGTTTTGTTTTGTTTTGAGATAGGGTCTCATGTAACCTAGGCTGCCTTCATATACCACAAGTGCTCAAGGGTGACTTTGAGCTTCTGATCCTTCTGTTTTGACCTCCTGAGTGCCAGGATTACAGGCAGGTACTGCCATATTGGCTTATTGGGTGCTGGGGATTGAACCCAAGGCTTCGCATACAATAGGCCAGTGTGATACACATGGAACTCTATCCCTAGATGCCACTTTTCATATTTAAAGGGAAAGAAATAGACAAGAAAATTTCTGAGACGCCTGCTTGTCACTTGAAACTGTAGCTTTGCAACAAAACAAAGACTGAGGGCTAAAGTGCCAAGAGACCGCCTGCTGTTTCCAGCTAATTCAGACCATTACTGAAGAAAGAAGGAAAACCATTCTGCACATCCATAAACCCTGAGAGATGGAGCATTTTCACACAGCAAGCATCAAATACCAATCAACAGTGACCATTTTAATAACAACACGGCCTTTCTTAATTGACCCACACCACCACCGAGAGTATTTTCCCATCAAAACAGCCCTTCTCAATATCAAGGACATAAGAGTCTACAGAGGGCTGGATTGCCAAGTTTTCTTTATATGTTTTCCAGTCATCTACAGTTCATAAAATGACAGAAAGGAACAACCCTGACTTTGTTTTCTGAAGGCTATCACCTTAGGAAAACAATTATATTTACAATATGGCTTGTTAACCAAGAAGAAAGATGGTTATTTCTATATAACTAAGAAAAAAGGAAGTGATGGCTTATGATTTGTTAAAAAAAAAAAAACCAGTAATAGGGAAACTATGATATCAAAGAAAGTGGAGCGCTGCAGCTGAGGAGAGGGTGTAGTGTGCATGGTGCTTAGTGCACACTTAGAGACCCAGTGCTGGAGAGGTAGAGGCAGGTAGATCCATGGGGCTTACTGGCTGCTAGCCTACCCTATGGGCCAGCTTTAGGTCACTGAAAGACTGTCTCAAAATTAGGTAGAGAGTGTTTCTGAAGGATGACACCCAAGGTTGTTCTCAGTCTTCCATATACATACCTATACACATGTGTAGATGAACATGTATGTACATATACAAATGCACAAAAGAAAAAGCAAATTTAAAGGACACATTTTTATCTAACTAAACTTTACTAAAAATGAAAAGGAATATTACAAGGAAAGGAAAAGAACACAGAGACTTTGAAAACAACATGCTCAACAGTCAATACAATCATCACAGACAGCAGAGCCAACACTTTCAATAAAACAGTCATTTGAAACAAACAACAGTCAGCCAGTATAGTCAACAGTCACTCAGCACATCCAGCATAATCAACATACTCAACAAAGTTGGCATAGTCAGCAATTATTCAACAATCACTGTGCACAGTCAGCACAGTCAACACAATCAAACAAGTTGTAATCATTCAACAGTCAACATAATCATTCACCATAGTCAGCATAGTCAATAGTCAGCCACCGGTCAAGTCATTCAACAGTTAACACAACCAACATAGACAACACAGTCAACAGCCACCAAAGTCATTCAACACAGTCTGCATAGTCTAGACAACCAACAGTCAGCAGTCATTCAACAGTCAATACAATCATTCAACATAGTGAACACATTCAACAGAATCAACAGTCAGCCACCATAGTCAACAGACATTCAACAGTTAACACAGTCACTTAGTCATTCGACATAGATAACATAGTCCAAACAGAACACTTAGACTCTTCATATAGTTTCTGTCCCATCAGTTCCTTTGCTATAAATATTTCATTGCCCAATGAGAAATTCTTTGCTACTGGGGGCAAGTTTGAAAGTGGATTTTATAGAGAATGGACATCACTAGACTCTGGATTTTTGAAATTCTTTGTATTTTCACTTCTTATTTTGTCTGCTTTGTAAAGGACTTCCAGTCTGAAATAATCTTTAAAGTTAAAAAACACTAAACATAACTAACAGAAAAGATAAGGGCCTACTTTAGGCTATTCATATATTGGATTAGTTAGAGTGTGTGATCTTGATTGACAACCTGACTGAACTTGGAGAAATGCCAAGGAGACTGGACAAGCATACCGCGAGATGTGTCTGTGAATGTATCTCCAGAGAGAATTAACCAAAGAGAAGGTCTACCCTGAATGTGGGTGGCACCATCTTGTGGGCTAGAAGAAGGGGAGTCCAGATAGAATACAGAGGAAAGAGAAGTCCTGTAGTCAAGGCATTTTTTCCTCTCTGCCTCCTGACTGCTACAATATGAGCTGCCCTGGAACACTCTCATTACCATGATAGACTGAAGCCTTTGAAACCATGAACCAAAATAAAACTTGTGTCCTATAAGGTATCTTGCTCAGATATTTGGTTAAATTGACAGAAAATTAACACAGAAGATCACATTAAAAATGTTTCTACCCATTAGTCACAATTAAGAAACAATGGAAAGGGGGCTAGAATGTAGCTCATTAGAGTGTCCAGCATGAATGAAGTCCTGGGTTCCATCCTGTCCTTAGCACTGAAAACAATCAGTTGTTGTGGCTCACAGGACAGTTAACCTGAAGTAAGGCATGCGGCTGCACTAACAACAATAGAGACCATGCCTCACTCATCAAGGTAGGAGGTGAGCTCCAACCTTCAAAGGCTATCCTCTGACTTCCACGTATATCCTGTGGCACGCCCCTACACACAGTCACACAAATGCACATACACACAACTAAATAAGAAAAATCATTTGGTTAAATGCATGAGATCCTTGTAGATATACAAAGAGAGGGATGCTAGGCACTGGGGAAGATAAATAAAGCTGGATATGTTGTTGCTGTTTGTTTGTTTTGAGACAGGGTTTCACTCTGTAGCTCTGGCCATCCTAGAACTCCCTAGGTGGCCCAAGCTGGCCTTGAACTCATAGAGATCTGCCTGACTCTGTCTCCTGAATACTGAAATTAAAGATGCGTGCCATTATGCCTGGGTAGATACATTATTCTCACAATATCAATGTAAATAAATAATAAACAATCCCAGGAAGCATACAGTCAGTGGGAATAATCTGAATTTCATTAGGAATGAGAGGTAGACTCCATACAGTTCACAAGGTAATATTTAATTATCCTTAAACAAACAAAAAACCAGAAATAACCTACCAGCACAATCCTTCTTAGAGTGAGACAGGTTTTAGCACATAGTACTTACTGGTAATGAACCCAGGATGGTCCTAGTGTTTTCTTAAATTGAGCAAGTCCCACAATATCAATATAAATAAGCTCAACGATTCTGTCTCCTACAGTTGGACAGCCAGACCGGTTTCCAACAACCTTCTTCATAATCCTGGAGTGAGACAAATGGGGAAGAAAAGAAAAAAAGCATCAATAACTTTACAATACTAAACCTGGCAAATATGATAGGTTCAAATCATAGCTCCAGTCCCGATTAGACATAATGGGCTGATGATTAAAACCTGTCTCAGCCTCAAAATGAGATGCTGGGAAGCTGGTGTATAAACACAGCCTGTGTAGTTCAGGAAGCAGTGTTATCCATCTCCACTGCAGAGCAGACGTGAGATAGCCCACCTAAGTCATCTCTCTGAATCTTGCTATCATTAGCCTTCAGGGTGGGGTGAGAGGACTGAACAGTGTTGTGCTGATATTTCCTCCAAATTCAAATATTCTGACCTGGAGAGGGGCTCTTTAAGACTCAGGAAATAAAAACTACAAGGTTCAGGAAGTACATAAGACTCACAAGTCCCCAGAAGCTCCTGAAACACAAGTTTTTCGAGGACCATCCCGAAGGTTATATAAGCAGTAACAATGGCTTAAGAAAAGAAGATCCTCTGGCCAGCCGATTGCCTGAAAGTCATTCAGGCAGCTTGAGGAATGCAGCTTTCCTGAATTGCCAGCCATGGATTTTAGTGATGCACTTGCCTTTGAATCACAATGCTCCTTCTAAAAACCCCTCATCCACAATCCTAGTGAGTAACCCCAATAAAGTCAACCGTTTACTAGGTTGGACTTGGATGGAGTCTTTATTGACGTCCTCTCTGGGGTGAACAGATGTTCACATGTCCCCAGAAAAAGTCACACAATGAACACAAAAACCTGGCATCCGCTTACTGTCGTTTGTAATCCCTAAACACCTTCAATTTCCAGCCTGGCAGCTCTGGTAACCCCCTCCATAAGTTTCTAGTGACTCCTTACAGAACTGGCCCTGTGGCTTAGATGTTATCTTGTCATTCAGCCAGTGCTCTACTTCTCTACCCTGATATCTCTAACTTCCCATGTGTTGACAGAATGACATCGTATGTGACTGGTAAGTGAACTTGATTGGTCAGAATAAGTCTGAAGTGTAACTGCCATATACCCAGAAACCAGGCACCACCTTTGCTTCTTCTCCTATCACACAGTAATACTTGACTAGTTTACTAAGCCCCACTTGCAAGTGACAATAGTCACAAACCTCCTCCACAGTCCTCGCACTCGCGGCTTCAGACCCCTTCTGTTCCTTCTCTGGGCTTCTAAAACACTCAAGCTCTACTGAACCAATTCCTCCCGAAGAGCAGGAAACCATCCCATGAAAGCCCGGATGATCAATAATTTCACCTCTGCATCTTCAACACAGCTTATGTGCAAGCGCTAGGCATGCAGTGGTGAGATTCAACTTTGAGCACTCCCTGACCTTACATTCCAGTGTGAGGACACCTCCATCAGCAGTAATAGAACACATAAGTATGCTTATTGCTTAATTCATCTGTTGTGATTATCGGAAGACTGGCAGCTGAGTGGCAGCATGCCAACCATCTCTGCAGGCCTCATTTTGAATCCCAGCCCACTGAAGCCAGACAGAGTGGCTGCAAAGTGCATGACTTTCTAGGTTTCATGTTCTGCATATTTTAAAGCAAGCAGGAAGGCAACAGGAGACAGCCTGGCAAGGGAAGAGGGGAACTGGTTGAGGTACAGAGGACCTCAAGTTCATCTAACTTTGAAGGAGAAGGAAAGGCACAGACGTTAGATACCAGGCTCAGATCCAGGCACCCCTGCATGCTACGCCAGAAACCTCAGAGAGCTCATGTTCAGTCTGAGCACAGTTTCCTAAGCTCTAAAACACAGATGGCGAGGGCATCTAGTTCCAGGTACTAATGTTTAAATGTAATACAACATACGGGCTGCTAAGATGCTTCCTTGGATAAAAGCATTGCTTCTATCACTGGAAGCCACAGTGGAAGGAGAGAACTGAGTCCTGAAAGCTGTCCTTCTGACCTCCTCACACACCGTGGATACACACCTGGCCACATGTACCCACATGCAACAATAAACAAAACAAACAAAAAAATAAAGCCACAAAGTGTTTAGTACAGAACACCCAGTAAGTGGCTCAGTATAGTTTTAATAGCTGCCATCAGTGCTGGGGTGGGGCTGAGGCAGCACAGAGCCTGCCTGGCATGCACAGAGCCCAGGGTTTCTCATCCAGTGCCATATACATTGGACACAGTGGTGCACACCTGTAATCCCACCCAGCACTGAGGAGGTGGAGGCAGAAATCAGAAAGTCAAGGTCATCCTCAGCTACATATATTTGAGTTTGAGGCCAGCCTAGGCTACACAGACCTAGTCTCGGTATTAAAAAAAAAAAAAGTCCCAATCAACACTACTGCTGGCATAATTCTTAGTATTTCTGCTCTAAGCAAGCCTTTATCATGGTGCCCAGCATCTGGAAAGCCATGAAAAGACGGCTAAAGTTATCTTCAGACATTACTGCCAGCAACCGTGGTATATACAGTAGGAACAGGGTTGACCCCAGCTGCTCTTTACCATCTCGGCTATCCCTAGACTGTTCTCCCAAAGGTTGGCATGGCAACAGGACAACTTGCTGTGCTGGGTTAGAAGTCTCCGCATGCAGTTTTTTGGGGACTGTGGGGACTCCGGTTCATCTGTATGACCAGCTGTATTAACTGGAAAGGGACTGAGAGGAGGCGAGAGCTGAATGCAAATCTCAGTGGGACAGAAGACTCAGGGAAGGGAACAGACTGAGCTGGAAGTTAGCTAATTGTGAAAGGATTGGATCCGGGCTTTCGGGAAATCTATTGTACACATATTAAATTACAAACAGGAACTGGCCCTGCTTTAAGCGTTAGAAAATCTTGATGTTGAGCAAGCAGTAGTATGAATTTTGGCAAGAGGCAGAGAATTAGCGAGTCAATAGAGTCTTGTGCTGCAGATGTTGGGAACACCTGGAATAGGAATAGCAAAGAATAAGCGCTTTAGCTTTAGTTGTCTGGGCGTTCGTTTATGAGGCCCCGGGAGCCTGCAGCGCCAATGAAAACATATTATCCCTTTCATAGTGTTTGTATTTAGCTCCTGAAAATAATCTTCTTATCGCCTGTTTAGCGAATTATCACTCTCTTTTTCCTCCACAAGAAATTGTGCACTAATAGAGGGGCTTTACGAGTTTACTATTTCGTTTTTGTATTCTGATTTTCAGATTGAAAAAGTAATTTCCTTACTCCTTGAGCTCAGCCAGTGAGGCTGAGATCCGGATGTCATGGCCCAGCAGGTACAGAGATGTGATTAAGTCACTCCACTGAACTAGTTCACCAAGAGGGCCACCGCTGAATGCTGTCTCTGCAATCTTGAAGCCCGATTCCTTGGTCAGGAGCCCCAGGTGAACAAGGATCTGCAAAACAAAGAGGAGACACTGACTTTCTGAGCCATGCTCAGATGCTCAGAAAGCCTATGCTAAGAGATGCACGGCCGCAAAGCAGTCAGCCAGTTGCAAAGGATCCACTGAAGTCTCAGTACATGGCATGCCATTTTTCTAGAAGGTATAAAACAAGGAAAGAAATAATTTTCCACTGTTTTAGACAAATAATAAAACCATGAACTGCCCTCGGTAGAGCCATGAGTGTGAGTTATAGATTAACATGGTTTTTAAAAATGGAATATATGGCTGAGTCAGCCATGAAAGAGTCTGATGAACAAGCATGAGGTCCTGAGCTTGAATCCCTAGAGCCCAGACACAAATGCTGGGTGCAGCCGTGCATGCTCGTAACTCCGGTACAGAGGACATGGAATCGGCTGGACAGACTGGCTATTGCTTCCCAGGGCTCTCCTCAGTGGCTTGCAAGCATGTACCACTACACCTGGCTTTTTTATGTGGGATCTGGGCAGTGAACTCAGGTCATGCCTGTGTGGCAAACATTCTAGCAGTTGAGCTTTCTGCCCAGCCCTTAAGTCTGTTGCTTAAGCATAGTCTAATTATGATCTGTGAGGCTTGTTTGCTTTTTAAATATAATACCATGGAAATAAGCATATTTAATGTTTCAGTGAACTTTGGTTTCTGACTATTCAGCCAACTCAGTTTGGCAGTGGGGAGTCTGTTGCAGTGGGCACCTTCATTCTCTGGCCAGATTCCTAGCAACCTCTGGTAGCTATTCTGCTCTTGGGTAGAAGATGTCCTAAGCTCATCAAGTGCAATTTCTATCTCAGATCTTAATGAGCCATTTCCCCAAGAACCACTTATCCCACCTAGTGGAAACAGCGTTTACAGAGCAAAGGCCAGTTCTCAAGAGACTCTACATAATTGCTATTTGGAGCCTTTTCCAAGGGCCCTAGCTAGGAACGTCATTTTCCCTCAAAGACAGAGTAAACTATGGGTTCTTACTGGAAGTGTCAATTCAAATGTGTGTGTGTGTGTGTGTGTGTGTGTGTGTATAAAATATATAAACATATTTATATGTCTTCACATACTATTGTCCATCTTTTGCTAGCTATTTACTTCCTTTTACAATGAAAATTATACTTTGTAAAGACAGAAACCCAGTAAGTCACTTTCTATACTCTAATATTCACAATGGGTCTAGAATAAGATTATCGTGATAAAAGTGTTACATTTTTTCAAAGCTCTCTGTTCCATTACTGTGTTGTGCAGAAACAGAGAGCAGCCCTCCCTCATGAGCCTACATCAGAACTGATGTCCACAAGGCCAGCTTAGCTGGTTCATTTTCCTTTCGATTTTCAGATTCATCTTTCTATTTCTCTTTTTAAAATTGAGAATAGATTTTTTCGTACAATACATTTTGATTATGGTTTTCCCTGCCCCCAACTCCTCTTAGCTCCTCGCCACTTCCCCACCCATCCAACTCCACACCCCTCTCTCTCTCTCTCTCTCTCTCCCTCTCTCTCTCTCTCTCTCTCTCTCTCTCTCTCATATAAACAGGAATCTAAAAAAAAAATAAAAATAAAAACGAGCAATTCAGAATGGGACAAAGCAAACAAGCAGAAAAAAAAGAGAGGTATGGCTTTCTTATATGAAAATTTCATCCATGTAAATGGTTCCAGCGGCAAATCAACAGGTATGAAGTCCTAAGTCTGGTGTCTAAGCCGGCTACACCCACTCTGTTCCTCCCCCTTCCTTGTTAAACCATGTAATTCTTTTCTTACTGTGGAAAAATATGTCTAGCTTAACGTAGTGGCCACTGTTTTTTGTTTGTTTGTTTGTTTTGAGACAGGGTTTCTCTGTGTAACAGAGCCTTAGACATCCTGGAACTCACTCTGTAGACCAGAATGGCCTCCAGCTCATGCCTGCCTCTGTCTCTCAAGTTGTTTTAATGCACATGGTTCAGAATTGCCCATCCCCTACCTCATTTCTGAAATCAGAAGTGTTTCAAAGCCTAGGAATAAGTCATAGTGGATAAAATCCTTCTCTCTCTGTGTGTGGTTGTATATGAGTATGTGTGTGTGTGTGCGTGTGTGCGTGTGTGTATGTGTGTGTACACGCAGCGAATTCCTGAGGGAGCATGTGGTGAAGATGGCTACATATCAATATATGCCTTTGAATCATGTACATTAACATGTTGAATGTTATGTTATACTATGCATATTTTTCTATAGTATGGGAAATAATTGCAGTTACCACCTATCTTGCTATGTGTGTGTGTGTGGTATGTGTGTGTGGTATGTGTGTGTGTGTGTGTATGTACGGGTGCATACAGAGAGTTATGAGTATACAGACGTGTATGTCTGTGTATACATTCACAGGGGACAGAGGAAGACATGGAGTATGGGAAAAGAGAGCCTCAAGGCTGGGCAGGGAGAGGCCGAGCTCATCTACCTTGATGGGATGTCACTGGACACATGACCTCTCCTTTCCTGTTGTTTCCAAGCAAAATCAATTTTTAACAGAAAGCAGGCATGTGAAGGAACAGAATCAACAAACTCACTTTCTTCCGTTTCCTCTTCTCGAGGTTTTGTTTCTCGGCCAGAGACTTGATTGCCTGGATCCACGCATCAGCCATTCGCCGGATCCGAAGTCTCATCCACCGGAACTCCTCATGCTTCTTCATCATGCCGTAGAGAATGTTAAAATCTGTACGGATTTCCGCCTAGAGGGAGGGGGAGAAATGTAACAAAATGAGCAGAAGATTAAAATGCCAGAAAGCAAAATGATTTTCATGATACAATATTTTAAACCTCAGAGTCAATTAAATCCAGGATCTCAAAGTCAATCTTGACTCTGTACAGTAATAGTACCAAGGGAAGGTGCTGGCAAGATGGCTATGCACGGCCAGGCTCTTGCCACACAGCCTGACGACAATCTAAGTTCAATCCCCAGGACCTGCAGGGTGGAAGGAAGACAGCTGACTCTTCTAAGTTGTTCTCTGGTATCCACATGCTCATCGTGGCAAGCACATGCCCATGTACATATGCTTACACACATGAAATAAATATAATTAAAAAACTTTAATAAGCAAGAGGTGCTAGGGTTGCAAATTGGAACAATAGCCCCTTACTGCTGATGTGTTACAAGGGGCATCATTAAGAGATCAGAGACTGAGAAAGTGTAGTCACAGGGAGGCCTGAGCTCTGCTGACGTGTAGTTTCCACACTTAGTATACCTGATGTACCTTCAAACCCTCTGTGTCTAAATGGATTTGTGTCTTGGAGTTGTCTGCTAAGCAGCTGACCACCAGGAAAAAGCCAACCAATACTCCGAGGCTCACCAGAGGGTATCTTTCGCCCCAGAGTAAGACGAGAAATGATCATTTTCTAATTTTGTCCACATCCAAAACAAACAAAATTCATGCTTTTGTAAGGAATTCTAAAAGCTAGGGATGGTCTTTGTTTCTACCGTAGTTGAGTACAATTTAAAATTCAGACCAGAAGAATGTGAGGTCCAGGAAGTCTAGTTTTCCTGGTATTTGAATACTGATTAGAACACAAGAGAAACATGACAATATTGGTTTTTATTTCATAGAATACTTCAAGGATACCAACTTGTAGGCACTTTACCTACTAAGCTCCTTAGCAGTCACCATGGCTCACTCTTAGTGTCTGCCTCCCTTCTTGCACCAACAATCTCCCACAGTCTACACTTGAGTCCATAGACCCGGGCCACAGCCCCTTCCTCCTGGCTGCCTGTCTGTGTACATCAAGGTTTAGTGGAGCACAGCCATGCCTTATTACCCATGCTGTTCTCTGTGCTAAGACAGCAGAACTGAGTAACTTCTTTGAGATGAAATGTTTGATAAAGAGAAGAATGCTATCTTGTTTATCACATTTTTACATATTTAGAATGTGTGTGTGTGTGTGTGCACGCGCGCATGCAAGTCAAAAGACAACTTGTATTGGCTCTCTTCGGGGATCATGTGTGTCCTCAGGTCTTCAGGCTTGGCAGTAGGCACCTTTACTTGCTGAGCCATCTCACTAGCCCTATTATTTTTGCACATGATGGGGTGTCTGGTAGCCCACGATGGCCTTGACCTCTGTATGTAGCCAAGGAAGATCATGACTTATAATTCTCTTGCCTCTACCTCCGAAGCACTGGGATTCGAGGCATGACCTACCATGTCCAGTGTACACAGTGTCACAGACTGAACCCAGGGCTACTTACATGCTAGGTAGGCACTCTACCTACTAAGCTACATCCCAAACCCCTATTTGACCCTTTACAGAAAGTGCCTGCTTTGGGTTAGAAAGAAGACTTGGTGGTTAAGTAAGGTTGCTGACTGCTCTTGCAGAACAGTGGGGTTCAGCTCCCAGCACCCATGTCAGGCAGCTCCCAACCATCTGCAACTTTAGTTCAGGGATTTGATCCTCTCTTCCTGCCTCTGTGAGTTCTGACATCCACATGGTGTACATAAACCCATGTAGAAAAGTACATAGACATGTAAATAAAAACATTTAAAAAATAACAAAGGATTTGCTGACCTATGGTCTAAAGAAAATGCCCAAGTTTTCAAGACAGCATTGAAAGGTCTCTGGAGTCCCTTCCTATCTTTCTAATTGCATCTTCAACCAGCGTATCCAAACCTCTGACCTGCCTACCCAATCTTGCAGTATGATATGAAAAGACTCCCCATAGAGACATGCCTCTCTCCGTGCCACACAGAACACGGCTTGTCCTTTTAAATTCCGCTCATCATCTTCTCTATGGAATCTCCCTTGACCTCCACAGCTGAGACCATCCTTCCTCATTAATCTTCCTTAGCAGGCATTAGAGCCTGGTGACAAGCTTGGTCATTATTTACAGCCAGTCCCCTCATTAGATCACCCAAGGCCTCTACATCTGGCACCGAAGCTCATTCCTTTCTGTGGCCCCAGCATTTAGGGACCTGCAGAGAACTGCTCAATAAATAAATCTATGCTAACCGGTGTATGACTTGGCCAGCTAGACTTGAGATTTCAGCTGGCACTTCCAAAAGGTGCTGTGTGTATCACTTAGCATCTGACTTAAATACACAAGTGGAAGAGGAGTGTTCCAAAGTCATTTACCAATGAGTTATGGTCAGCTTCTTCATAGGGATTTTTTGCTCTCCAAGGTAAACGAGGACACCAATTTTCAACCTGAAAAAGATAAATCAGAAACATTAAGTATACTGGTTCATCTTTCGGCAGAAACACACAGACAGAGGGCTAAGAACCACTTCCAACTCACAAGGAGCACAGTATTTATATGGGATATTATTAACCAGATAGTAACCAAATTCCTGCCAGATGTAGGTGCCTTCTAAGGCTCAGAAACCTTCAGCAGAGGTCTTAAGAACCTGTCCTACATTACAGGGAGTGACTTCTTCCTCAATTAATCCCCACTCTTCCATAGGAGGGAAGGAGTGTCCTCTGTCAAGAGGTTAAAAGATTTGAACACTTGTGCAGGGGCATGGCAGTGTCATGGAGTCACCGTGCACCATTCAGCAAGGGCACAGATGATTTATGGTCCACTCAGGTGTGTCTAAAGGGAACAGATGGCATTCTGGCCAAAAAATTATTCTCTGATTTGAGGATCAGGAATGCAAACTGTGGTTTAATGCTAATTAGTCAAGGTTTGTTTTCTGGATGTTTGCCTGACACTGCCTCAAGAAATAAGATGGGTAACCCAGGACTGGTGGATCACACCCTTCATGTGAGTACCCAGGCTGTGACAACCCAGGATCAGATAAATGTTCTAACTATACAATGAGTTCTAGGCCAGCTTGAACTATATGAGACCCTGTTTCCAACAATAGCAAAACAGGAATGGCCTTTATTTCTCTTCAGTGACCTTACAAGAGTTCTTCCACAGTAGGATCTGTCAACACATAAGCTGTGTCCAACCTTCTAACACTGAGGCAACTATAAAGTTCACTCATAAGAATATTATAACTGAATTACAACACACACTCATACACACACACACACACACACACACACTCACACACTCTATAATGCTTTAAGCAAGTGTATAACTTTGTGTGAGCTTGCATTTATAGCTCTCTTGAGTGTCTGTGCCTTACAGGCTCAAGCTGAACACACCTGACAACTGTTGGGGGAAGGAAGAAAGGAAGGAGGAAAAGGACTGTGCTTAAAGATATTTCTTCAAGAAAAGGTACCAGAGATTAGTGAAACCAATAATTGTTAGAAAGGGACTGAAGAGAGTCTAGGCAGGGGCTCAAGGCATGGCTCAGAGTTTAAGAGAGACTCCTGCACTCACAAAGGACACAGTTCAGTTCCCAGTACTGGGGCAGCTCACAACTACCTGGAACCCCTGCTCCAGGGGATCTGACACCTTCTTCTGGCTTCCAAAGAAGCTGATCTCACTTGTATACACTGACCCCTCTTGATTAAAGCATAATTAAAATTAAAAAAATCTAGGAAAGGAAAACCAAGAAATCCATTGGGTGCCACTGACATTTGGCCTGTTTATCTAAAATAGCTACAAAATTTCAGAGATAGCATAGTCATTTATTAATTCATACAGCATCATTAAAGATGGCTCAAGAACTGGCGCCAGAAATCACCGTTCTTCAGTTGGGGGACAGGTAAGATTTTACAGAGGAATATCCTTTAAGAGTCACTGACTTGGGGACTGTAGCCTTGTGGGTTGGCAGATCAGCCAGACAAGAAAATCTGACTTCCAGGTCTGGGTAGGTTTTCAAAAAAACATGTCAGTTTCAGTAATCTAGAAGTTACTCATAATGCAAGGTGGTATTTACTGTGACCGAAAATAACTGGCCATATTTGCATGAAGCCATCTGCTGTGGAAAATGGTCAGAAAGCAGCCCAGCTCAGGGCACCAAGGCTTAAGAGGTGGCAGGAAAAGTGCACGATTCAGATTAGATACGGTTGATGTTTGTCAGTGACTGGGCTCACTCAGAAACTCTCCCCATGGGGAAAGTACAAAGCCTTCACTCATAAAAAGAGAGAATGCTGACCTGCCCGAGGCCTGTGGTCTAAATTACTGTGGACCTTCACCAGTATGACCATGACAGGCAACAGACACAGCTCTACGACTCAGGAAAACTGAGCAGAAGAGGAGCCCGACAAAGCACACCGCTTCAGCCAGTCCCAGAGACGCCCCACACATCTATGTTTCCTGCTCTGAGGCCAGACTGATTCACTTGGCACCAACTAAATTTTAGTAAATGGACTCAATAAAACATCCCTATAAAGGATATTTATAATATGAAGGCTTCGGACCCATCCTGGGCATGACTGCTAGACCTTCAACCATGCATGTAAGTGTGTATATGTGTGCACAAACACATGCACGAGTGTGAGCACACACACACAGAGTTCGATGTCAAGATGTCAAGAATCCTCACAAATAAATACAAAACTAAGTTCATTTTTAAAACTTACTTTTATCTTCATCCACTTGAGTAAATTTTTTTTGTGTATGTGATATATGTATGTTTTCCTGTGTGTGTGTGTCTGTATATGTAGATGTGTGTACATGTACAAGCTTGTGGATGACACAAGATGTTGGATGTTTTCCTCCATTACTCTTTGTCCTTTCTTTCCTTGTCCACTTCCTCCTCCTCTTCTTATTTTTCTTCCTCTTCTTCCTCCTCTCCCTCCTTCTCCCTCTCCCTCCCCCCCCTCTCCTTTTTCTTTTAGAGACAGGGTCTGTAAGTGAACCTGGAGCACATTCATTCAGCTGGATGGCAAACTCTAGGAAGCCACCTGTTCCTGTCTGCCCTGCTCTAGAGTTGCAGGTGCAGGCCCTGGTGTCAGCTGCTTATGTAGGTGCCGGAGAGCCTAGCTCAGATCCTGGTGTGTGAGCAGCAGATGCTTTACTGATGGGACCTCTCCCCAGCCCCTGAATAAATGAAGTCTATATAGTAACCTGTCAGGATAAAAAAAAAAATCTCCCCGTGAAGAATATAATGGGACAAGATAAAGCAAGACTAGGAATAAAGAAACCCGATGGCACCATGGTGTAACCAGATATTGGTAAAAGAATGCCTTCCCTCACCCTATGAAGAATCCCTTCACCCTATGATGAACCTTCCAAGTCTTACTTTGATGAAAACATAGTCAGTCCAAGGTGATTTAAAATAGGACTTCACCAGAGGACTCTCAAGGCTGTAATTGCTTTTGTGAGCTGATCATTTTTCTTAGTTCTTCGTTCTCTCAATCACTAGCTACCCCTCTGCCGCCTCCAAGGACGTCTCTGCAAATATGGAAAGTAGAGTGGTCCAACTGAGCTTTTAGGCAGCTATTTCAGCTCCGAATGCAATTGGAATGGTGGAAAAATAGATAAAGACCTTAACCCACTAAGGGAAAGTAGGCTGAGGTTTTTTTCCTCCACAAGGATGGGATAGCTAGTTGATGAAATAATTAAATTATATGTAAACCAATTACCCTGTGGGAAGAAGGGGAAAAACAAAACAAAAAAAATTTTTTTTTCTTTCCCTGGAACCTCAGAGGATTACCAGGATTGGAGGAAGGCCAGAGCTGGCGATAACTCAAGTAATGAGCAAACTGCCTTCCACAGGGCAACATTTTCCTAAACAAAAGCACCACGATGAGCATGCAGGGGAAACCATGCTTGCAGCTGATAGCTCCAACTCCTGATATGTAACTGAATTTTCTATCTGATGCATCCAGTGTCACTTAATGAGCTTGGCCCACCAGTGTAACAGCCTATCAATAAAGCTGACCCCAGGAGGAGCTCATTCCCTGACTCATAGGAATTGCCCTGATTGGAATTGTTCAGAAGAGCTAATCTCGGACTGGCTCCCAGAGTCCCTGGGTCCTATGGCTGTCTCAAGACACATTCCATCATGGCTGCCTTAGCTACGCATCTCCAGCTGTGTTTTCTCACTGCATGTGGCCCTTAGTGCAGAGGCACACGGCTGCACATCCTCCCTTACCTCTCCAATCTTATGATACACAATCTTCTCAGAAGCAACAACTCATCAAAGGCAGCCTGTAGTTTACCACAGTAAACAATAAGAAATGGGATTTGGGAGATAGCTCAGTGGATAAAATGCTTTGCTACTCATGAGTGAGGGCCTGAGTTTGATCCCTAGAGCTCATGTTAAGTATCCTGGGTGTCAGTATGTGCCTGTAATGTAAGCACTAGGAAGGTACAGACAGGAGCATTCTGGCCAGTCTAGCTGAATCAGCAAGCTCTAGTTTCAGTGAGAAACTCTGTCTCCAAAACTTAAGGTGGAGAATGACAGGAAGACATCCAACATGCCATCTCCCGCCCCTGCACACACAATTCAGACAGGTACACACACACACAAACAGGTGCACATGCACAAAATCAAAAACCATTTGAATTCATGGTAACACATCCAGGAATCAATAAAGCAGTAGCACCTCTCGGATCGAGTTCAATTTGAAGGCAAAACTCTTTCGACACAAACTAATCTTTTTAGTGTGCTAGCCACAGGCTGCAAAATGAAGAAGCAGCAGAACGAGACAGGGAAGCCTTGCTGGCCCAGAACTTCAGAACACTAATGGATATTCAGCGGAGACGGCTCTATACATTGCTTTCTTTAGAGATGAGATGTAAAGTAAAACAATTTTGACATACCTCCTGGTGATTTAGACTTCTTTGAACTGAATAGGTTTTTCAGCTTTGTCAGGAGACTGGTGAATCAAAGCAGTATGAGTTCCTAAAAGTTCTAACTGGGTCAGGCTGTTTTTTCAAGATCCACAGTATGGGAGAGTCATTGCACTCAAGGAAAAAGAAGCAGCTGGCAGACACACACAGGGATGGAGGCAGGTGAAAGGAGGAAGCAGGAACCTGCTGTCAACACTAACAGGAGAGGCCGGGTAGGTGCAACCACAGTCCTTAAGAGCCTGGTCTCTCTGGGCAGATGTTCTTTTCTGTGGAAACAGCCTCAGTTTTGGTCTCTTCTCTTGCTATTGTAGATGAAGCTGTTTTATTCAAGTATATCATTGACACCCAGGATCTCATGCTATCCATTCCAGGTAACAAACACAATCAAAACCAACCTCCAGGCATTGTAGCATAATCCCAGCAGAAGCAGAGGCGGAGGCAGAGAGGCAGAGAGGCAGAGAGGCAGAGAGGCAGAGAGGCAGAGAGGCAGAGAGGCAGAGAGGCAGAGAGG